AATTGCTTTTCATTGCTTAAAGTAGATGATTAGAGGGATGGATTCTCAAAAAGAGGCATTGTGCTTCCTCTTTCATATTATTTTATTTTCAGAGGAGCTTTGCTGCAACCACAATTTTGAATGTGGCATTCAGCTCAGGTAGGAAAATTCAGATCCTACGGTTTGTGGTCTCTGTTTAGTTGGTGCTCTGAAGGATAAACCTAATAATTTTGAGTGTCCCAGAGATTGAACCAAAAAACCTGTTGTCACTTTTATAACTGTTATTTTGCCCTGTAGTCTAGCCTGAAGTTGCAGCATGCTCTTTAGCATGCTTTCTAGAGCTGTACACGTGCAGCTCTTCCTGTCTTCCCACTGTGGCTGTTTAATATTCCAGACTCCACACACAGCTCACTTAGTACAAGTGCCATTTCAAAATGCCTAAAGCATGATGCAAATCCTAATTTGAAGATTAAACCCAAGATAGCTTTGTGATACTGAGCACCTTTAGTACTCCTGAGGGGTGGAAGAGGTGTCTGCGTGAGCTCAGGGATGTGAGATTTGAGTAATTTTTCTGAGAAGTCCGACGACTTTCTTTTATTTTATTTAATCAGAATTAAATTCAGATAATTTATATAAATCATTTTTTCTATAATCTGAACCTAAAAATCCAAGGTGCTGGAATCACTGTCCCTGGAAGTATTCAAGAAATGACTGGATGCGCCCATGGTCTAGTCGACAAGGTGGTGTTAGGTCAAATGTTGGACTTGATGATCTTGGAGGTCTTTTCCGACCTTAATGATTCTATGAAAGTTAATGGAATCACAATTGAACAAATATTACATGCCAATTATCAGAAGACAGTAGAAGTAACCTATGCATTCCACAACAGCAGTTCCAACATATTTTGGCTTCACTTAATTAAACTATAAGTGCACAATTAATTTAATATGACAACCCTCAAATACTGTTAAGCCAGTTGGCTGGTAAGACTGGAACAGTTTTTCTGTCTCAGACTCAAAAAACAGAGTTAGCAGGACCAATTTTAAGTATGCATTCCATTATAAATGTGAGGAAGGAATAGTCTGCTTCCTGCTTACCGTGTGGGAATAAAAAGAGTCATTAATAAAGTGTTAGTGAAAACTGAGATAAAGCATGTGAACTGTGACTTCTTTTGTGATTTCTTATTTTCTGTGAGCAGTACTTTGCCAAAATATTAGGAACTGATAATCTGTGGTTCCATTTCAGACATTGTCAGTTCTTCACACAAAACTTTAAGGTTTCCAGGCTATTGAGAAAAGGTTATAAAATTACTATAGGAAGAAATTATAAGTTCTAAGAAGCGAGTTCCTAAACTAAATTTGTTATTAATCATGATTTTGAAGTATATGGAAACTATATAAAATGACAGTACTATAGCCAAACCCGAACAAAGAAACATGATAATAAGTATCATATGCAATTGAAATGAAGATAAGCATTAAGGAAAATGTAATCTTTCCTATTACGTGAAATTAAAGTGTGGGAAGAATCAGTTCTCAAGACAATTCTAATTTTTCCTCAGGTGAAGTAATTCCTGTCGCTCTAGCAATTTTTTGGAAATGTGTTGTCCAAAATTTGCAACTCTTTCTGATTAAGTTGACTATTTAGGTATGAAACTAGGGTTTTACAGCTTCAATTCCTGCTTATTTTCATGGCATTTTTGGGGGGTAAGTTTTTAATGATAACCAAGCTCTTTATATTTAACTACATGAGTAAAAGTTTAGGAGCCTAATTTTAGTTGCATGCATGTATTGTAATTAGTTTTGTTATGAATGGGATCTTGTTTAGACATCAATTGAAACAGAGAGATTTTACCACACAACCGTACTGCAAAATCAAGGTAAATTAATTTGTGGTCTTCTTGTATTTCGTTCTGTCCCACTGGAGGACCAGCTGATGGGCAAGTCACCATCTGCTCAAATGGTTGCCATTAGCTTCCTGTCCTCCAGATTCTCTCTTAGCAAACTACACACATCTCCTAGGGGTTTTAATGAGGTTTAGCTAATTAATATAGGAACTGTAATTTGTTATTACACAGAAAATGCTTTTCTTTTACTAACCTTGTTTCAATGTATCACAGTCAATTCTTGCATGGAAGAACATTAAACGTGTAGTATATGACTTCAGTCCACAGGACATTTTGGCTATTAGTTTAAAAAAATTGATACCCCCATCTCTCCCACCCCACAGATGTAAATAAGTCAATACAATACTATGAACAAATACTACTGTTTACATTGTACAGCATATGTTTGGAGTATTTAATTATTTTTTTCCCCAACCAAACACAAGTTTCCATAATAAGTTCTTTTTACCAGAAAAAAACCAACAGCTGTTATATGCTGGAGAGAGAATATGCAGAGAGTTTTAGCATTTGCTTAAGATTGTTCTTATGAACTTTGTTTAATACAGAGTTATCTCATTTATTAGAATAGACTACACAAATATTAGACTATATAGGCAAAAGATGACTGATAAAAGCATGGTATGGTTGAAATGCTGATAAAATGTTACTGTGTTAAGCAATCTAGATAATATCCTGAATATGTTCATGCATTTTTAACAGTCCTGACCCTGAACACTAAGCTTCACAAGAGCTATTTCTGGAGCAAACGTCGTTTCAGAAATGATGGAGGGTGTCAGTGTTGTATACAGAGTGTTGCAGTCATTTCCTTTGCCGGATTTGGTTTCACATAAAATTTTCAACATGTTAGCATTCTTGCAGTATGTGACCGTTTCTACAGGGCAACACTGCTGATGAAAAGACTTTTAAGAAAAGTTACACAGTGACAAGACAGAATAGTCCTTGCAAAGCCCAAACCCAGCGACATAGTGCCTAAGCTCATAGTTGCAGAGGATTCAGGAGCCTTGCGCATATGCAAGAGCTGGGATTTGGACTCTGGAGAGTTTTGGGGAACTAGGTCTTCCCCTGGGTCTCTATAAGGCCTAATGGGAAATTTGAGGCAAAATCTCTGAAACTTTTCGTGTGATCAGGAATTATCTGTGCTTTGCAGGTATTGTGTAGTAATCGTGCGGACAAAGTACAACCTGAATGAGTGCAAGTATTCCAAACTGGTAGTAATAGTTGTTATTTTCTTCCTCTTCTTTAAAATAAAATACTTTCAGTGGAGACATCCACTATTTTTGTGGCTGCCCCAACTCTGGCAGTGTTCAAAGCCAGTCTGGATGAAGCCATGAGCATCTTGGTCTAGTGGGGAAGTGTCCCTGCCCAGGGCAGGGGGAGTTGGGACTAGATGATCTGTAAGGTCCGTTCCAACCCCTAAATTTCTGTGATTCTATGATTCTGTGATTCTGTTTTGGCTCGTATCAGGCTACTGAAACGAAGCTGTTGAAAAAGCTGTAAAATAAATACATTTCTTAGCAAGCAAAATGTATAATGGTGACACTTTTCTGTTAATTTCCATTTACAGTATCTCCTAAATATCAGTGTCATCTTCTTAATTTTGACGGGAGCTACATGATATTTGGATTACACTTGACATTTTGAACAGTGTTACAAGCATCTGCTTCCAATGTCTGTCAAGCTGGAATTTAGACTATATTCTCTTAAAATCCCCTAGATTGAAAAAAATGTTTTGTGCATAAAGTTAGTGTCTGAGGTATGTTTCTAATATGCAGGTTTTGCATTTGGGGACTCAAAACATACACTGACATTTTCAAACAAGGAACAACTCCCACAAACATAAAATTAAAGACACCACAATGTGCTTTCCACATTGCACTCATTTACAGTATGGGTATTTAACCCCTGCTTTTAGTTTAGGTATGTAATAACTAGTATTCAAACATTCCCTCTTTCGTGTGTGAACTCTTATTTACAGATGTAAAATGTCATGTGCCAGTATGCCTGTGTACCTCATAACAATATATTTTCACTACTAAAGCCTCTTATTTCTATGTCTATACTTACAATTAAATAGTATTTTCTAGTTAAAATTCCATTATACACCAACTGGATATTTTTCGTCTTCTAAATGTAACCCCTGCATAGTGATAATTATGCATATTATGATGTTATATATGTATCTTGAGTTGACTGAATTGCATAATAAATAAAGAATATGTCTGTAGTTATAATTTGGAAGTTCATTGAAACCAATATATCAGAAGATTCCTAAATGAGTTTTTCCATAATATTTGACAGCTGACTGCTGCTATTCATGCAAATCCTGTCAAAAAAAAATTTGCCCATGACAAAACTGAAAATGTCTGTGTTGTTTTTGAGAATTATATGTGTGATTTCTTGTAAGACACTTTTCAGGTGCAAACATTCTTTTGTCTAAAGAATGGAGGAATATGTTGAAATCCAAATTACTGTATTAGTTTGATATAAATTTAGCTACTACAGTTCTAGTAGCCACAGGACTGTCAGTATTTTAGGAAAGCTTCTAATAACTAAGAACAATTAACTATCTTTTTTTCACTTTTGCTTGGTGACCTGGTATGTGCAAACTGGATTAATAGTATAAAAATAGAAGTCAAAAATATAAAACTGCTCATATGGTTTCTTCACTCAAATTTTTGGGCTTTGAAGAAGGTAATAAATGCAAAATTGAATCTTCTGAAGGGTTCATTGAATCTCCCACAACTTTGTGAGCATTTAAATAGAAAGTTCTCAGAGAAGTAATGGTCTCAGTAGTTTTAACAATCTTTTTAAATTTGTGAGTCTTGATTCAATTGAAAGAAGTTGTAGGCTTTAAGAAAACACTTTAGTGGATGAGTCCTGTCCAATATATGCCTTTTTCAGCAGCTTACATAACCCTGGGATGCAGCCAAGAGTCAGGTGTGTCAGCACAGTTCTCTGTCGAGATTAATGTGCTCAAATTAATGGTCCTTGCTGAGAAACCTCAGCTTTTTTAGAAGTCCAGGATGATACTTTTCCTTTAACCTGCCTGATGTGAATTAATTGATTTGCATTTCTAATTCACAACATGTACATCACCTGTAATTTTTGCCTGCAGATTTTCCACATGACATACGATCTGGCCAGTGCAGTGGTGAGAATCTTTAATCTGATTGGAATGATGCTCCTGCTGTGCCACTGGGATGGTTGTCTACAGTTTTTAGTACCACTACTCCAGGATTTCCCACCAGATTGCTGGGTGTCCCTAAACGGTATGGTTGTAAGTATTGTTCATTTTTCATTGTGCTTTCTAAACATTTTTCTAAATAGTTAGCTTCAGAATTTAGTGTAAAAATACACACCTAGTAATACTCTGCCCTGCAATTTAATCAAGGTTACTTTTATATTTTTATTGGCTCTCTTGCGAATGAGCTAAAGTTTGTTTTGTAGTGCTCGTCACCAATAAAATGATATTGACTCCTTGTCAGTAAATGAGGCAGAAAATACATTCACTTTTAAGTAATTTTAATTTATTAACCCTCATTCCCTAAAAAAACCGCTCCAAAAGACATTTGGAAACACTCAATTCACCAGTGCTCTCAATTTAGGCTGTTGTTTCAGAATGCTCTTGAAGGTGAATTATTGGTGTTTGTTTCATCTAATGTTATCCTCAGTTTATTTTGTGAATATCTTCTGGGTCATCTCACGAGCCATTGTTCCCCACTTAAAGGTCAACATGAGATTTTTCTAAATAAAATACAAGAAAAAAATTAGTTGTATTATAGTTCTCTGTGTGGGAACTGAATGTTCAAGGGCAGAATGTGACTGTGCCTTATTTATAAGGAAGGTCAGTGATGTTCTGTTTAAAGGACAATGGCTGTGAAAAACAGTTTTTTTATCAAGTCAGATAATGCAGCAATATAAAGAACATTTTTGTAGGAAATACGCTGAAAAGGTTGTTGACATGGGTCTATAGGAAAAAGAAAAGCCCCAAGCAACTCTTTCATTGGCTATCTGAAAACATGTGCCTCTCCAGTTTTTACAATCTTAGAATCCGTGAACAAGCACCTTTACTGCATCTTGCTCAGTCCCATCTATTTCTATTGTAGAACCATAGCAGCATTTGTTCCCTTAGGAACACTAATGTGATACTGCACATTACTGTGAGAGATCTTGACTAAGATTGTCAGTCATACAGACAAGTATTTGCAGTCATCAGGCAACATCTTTAATGATAAGCAGCATGTTTGCTGACACCTCATTGTGCTGCTTTTCCAAAAAAAAATAGTGACATATTTCAAAAATGGAATTGCTACAGTAAAGTAGGTCACCACTGTGCTGACTGGCACATCTTTCCATTCTGCTGTATTCTGGGTTCTGCTTTCTAACATCTTCCATTCACATTTACAAAGGGTACATTTTCTACCAGCATTTTAAAGATCTCAGTGAAAGTCATCCTAGTGAGTAAAAGGAACCCTTGGATTCACTTAATTGAAGTATTTAATTTTTATAGAACACTAAACTGTTAAATTCTCTCTCCTCCATGAGAGCTACATTTAATCTAAGAAGGCTGTGCACATTTTGCACATGCTCAGTGAGACCTTTCTTTCTGCCTACTCACACTCAGGATTCTTTACGGAAACAGTACTCTCTCCTTACTGTCTACATACTCTTGGAAAGATCCTTCCTGAAATTTTTATTTTCTGGCAACTGAAATGTTCCTGTTGAATCAACATTGTGGGGAGATCTGAATATGATGTTCACAGCATAGGCAATCTTTCTGGGCCAATGGCAAGACTAAGAGTTGTGGACTGCCAGCCTGGAATCAACAGCATATCTATCTAAGAATGCCGTTGAAGAAAAGATCTAGACCTTTGCTCTGACCATGTCATGGTGTTACGAGGTATTTCCTCATTGCTTCCCAGGCTCTGGAAGTTAATCCTTTATCACTGAAAGCAGACAGAGAAGCTGTCATGGAATATCAGTCCTCTGAAATGACAGACGAAATAGAAAGATGATGATGATGATGATGATGATGATGATAATGATTTTGATTATGTTTGTCTGCTTTTCTGGTGTATTCAGAGTCTGACTGCTGACTTTGGAGTTTGAAAGAGTTTCATGTTCCTGATACTGCAAGAGCTTTGGCAAGATGGGTATTTTACACCCCCAGTATACTGTAGCAATTAACAGTTAATCTACTCTGATTTTAAAAACTTCTGTTACTGACATGACTCCTTCTGATACTGGGGTTTGGACTCAAAGTAAAATTTTACACCTGTTCCTTCCAATCATTGCTGTCTCCTCAATTGACAGAGCCCAGACTACTCTTCCAGTCTGTAGTTTCTTTCTGTCTTGCTTCAGGCTACAGAGTGCAAGAGCTTCTAAAAGCTGCCTCCCGAAAGCTATTTCTTCTGTTTAAGCTGATACATGAAAGTATTCAAATTCCACAGGCATGCTCATGGGTTTGCTTTATAAATACTGTTAAGAAAAAGAACACAGGTAAAATTTAATATCACAAAGGAATAGGAAAATGAAACCAAGCTGCAGATTGCCTACTACCTTTTTGAACAGTGCAACTGAACACAATTAAAACAAAACAAGTTGGTTGGATTTTTGGTTTTGAAAGGATGTCATAGTGCAATGTAAAGGAGACTATGAAATGGAAAGCCCTCTCTGTAAAAGGGATTAAGATCACCACCGGTTAATACTGTACCAACTTACAGCCTAAGTAGTTCAACAAAAAAATCTTTAAATCCCATTGGTATACTCTCTTCAGTAATAATAATAATGAACCCATATCATATCTATACTCTCAGCTTGACCTTCTTGGCCAGTTCCTAGCATTGGCCTTCATCTTGCTATGAAATGACTGCCAGAGATGACATCTTCCTTTAATTGATGTGATCCCACTTGCTCACTTCTGTATCTTTACTGCCATTTAATTGCACTGACTTTATTCATTCTGAGTACTATGGACTATACACTTGTCTTTAAAAATAAGAAAAAACGGTAAATACAATATAAAAGTAAGAGGCAGCTTTTTCTTCCCCCACACTTTATATTACAGCCAATCCATTACTGAGAAAATAACAGTCAATTACTTCTGTGAGGGAATATGGCTCTTTGATGCCATTTCTAGTTTTTTTAACACCAGGATTGTTTCATTCCTAAAGAAGGTCTTTTCTGAAGAAGTTTCACAGGCTTTCCTAATGATGCTGCCTAATTTCTCCTTGGCTCAGAAAGCCTATTATCTGCAGCTCCTTGTGTGATTTATCCTCAGCTTTCTGATCTGCATTGCTTTAGACTAGTGTACTTCCATAATGACTCATAGACTAAACATCTTTATCATGCCTCAGAGTTTGAGCCAGTAGTTCCTCAGAAAATTCGGAGTAAAACTTGCAATTGAAACTGGGGGAGCATAAAAACAGAAAAGCGCGATGATCCTTTCCTCTAGTCATTCTGTGCAAATCGAGATTCTGCATTTTGTATTCAATTTCAGCTGCAATGAATTACAAAACCAATGTGATTATAGTCCAGTCTTATATGAAACATGGTTTCTAGGCAAGTAGACATGAAAGATGACATTTTTGCCACGGATGCCATCTGGCCATCTAAGCATGACTGCCTGCAATAAAGTATCCCTTGCAGTAGATGATTAGCAACAGTATCTGAACAGATTCCCAACCTATATTTTCCTGTCTATATTTGTAATAATTGCTTGTGTGGTTAAGAAAACATATGTTCCTTTAAGCAAAGTATTTACTTGGCTTTTGCAGATTTTTCATTTATATTGTTCCCTTAGTGAGATAAAAGTCTAGCAGAGAGGTATAGAATTTAACTTGAAGGATGAGTTTTTTAAAAGCCAAAACGGACTGTAAAGCTTTTGGAAAGGCCTTGCTTTGCTGGCATTACTCCTGGCAGTCAGCCGATGTTTGCTCAGCAAGAACCCTTCAGGTACTCTGTTTTCTTTGTTTTGTCTTTTCCTGTTACTGTCATTGCAGTTGGATTGTTTGCAGCTCTTGCTGCGTTTTAGGTTTGGATTTGGTGAGGTGGGGTTTTGCATTGTATTAATGTCCATTTGTGTCACATAATTTCCTCAGGAGCAAAAGAAATCGGATGCTGGACTTCAGGTCTTTATCACTGATGGTATCAGCATTGCTAAAAAAAGAATTTGGGAATTTCTGCTGTAGAATCTGAGAGTCTCACTCATTATAAATTGGATTATTTAAATGAATATTTGACAGGGAAATTCAGAAGTGCAGGAGATGGTGAAAATTTATAATGCTCTAAGAACTATGCTAACGTGTATATATATATGAAATATGAAAAAACCTATTTAGTAATAATACTCCAAACTTAAATTTTAATTCTGAACATTTCCTACTAATGAACACCATTTTCAATTGCACAGTCACTTTTTCTTATTTTATATAAGATCTCTGCTTTACTTAATGGAGCTCAAGGAATGTATTATAGTCATTTGATGTGTTATTCTACATTGGGTTTTCTCCTTTTGAATAATACATCAGCTTAGCACCTTCTTCACTACACTTGGCCATTAGAGTAGTTAATTTTCTCATGAGATTTTTCTGCATTTGATTATTATGTGATAGTCATCATTTAGACCTTACAAATCTTTTGAGTACCTTTTTATTATATGGCCAAACATTGTAGAGCCACATTTAAAGCTTTAGATTCTTCTGATTTCATTTGCAGTGCTGAGCAATAAATGCTTATGTAAAACAAATCCCACAATCTCAAACTTGGTGCTTAAAAAATATGGAACATATGTGAATCATCTGATTACTAGAGGCACTGAGGATCTCGTGAAGTATATACTCATATGCTACTAGTGCAATGTCTTTTACGCTCATATATTTATATTTATGATTGTCTATTCAGTTATACAGATGCTTCTAGGAACAGATAAAAGAATGATATTACCAATCGGACTGTGATCAAAATTTGGGGAATTGCCAGACAGTGCTCTATTTGCAACATGATTTGGAAGTATGGTAGTGCCAGTAACAACAATGTGTAACTGACATTCTTAGCACTAAGGTACCCATATTTTGGAAATCTACAGTGAATAATTATATCCCTTCTAGTATGTGCAGCTGTTCAGAATTCAGTTACTGCTCTCTCTTGCAGACAGCTCTGACCTAGTCACTGAGGTCAGTCTGTTTCCTCCCGCACCAAGATGATGAAGTAATGACCTGTTTCACTAGTTTGGCATCAAGTGTTAGGCCTAAAAATATATTAACTCAGGAAAATGTA